TTTTTTTGTTAATTTGAACTATTTTTATGTTCATTTGAAACATTTTTGTGTATATGTTATCAAATTAATTGTATGGTCCCTAACTTCATAATTATAGAAAAAATTTAAAAACTGAATTGGTAGAAAAATAGGTCAAATGAGTAAGTAATGTGTTGATTTTAACTACAGGATATGACGTCATGTCAGTAGTTCAAATGAACAATAGTTTAAACGAACAATAGTTCAAACGAACAATAGTTCAAACGGGAGTAGTTCAAATGAGAATTTTTACACCGAGTGTTAGAAATCTAGAAATGTAAAGACGACCCAAAGCTCTGTTGATATGATGATTCCAAGGTTTAATTAAGGCTTCTGCCTGGAATATTGTCGTTAAATGGTTTATTTATGGATTTGACAAAGAAAGAAACAAGTTAAAGGAATCATAAATATATGTAAACAGACAGTAAAAATTTCGTAAAGTCGTCTCTGAAGTCTCGTCCTTTATGGGTAACCTTGTAGAAAATTTCTATCATTTCTGAACTGAACATTGAATCTTTTTTCCGTCAATATATTTTTTCAACTGTAAACTTGGTATTTTAAAAGTGCAAGAAACAAGTGTATACATAACTGCAGGGAACATATAAAGTAAAAAAAGGCTAAATAAATTCCGCACAGTCGTCTCTGAAGTCTCATTCTTTGTGGGTAACCCTGATATGTAGCGTTTTTTAACATTTCTATTTTAAAACTGAATTTGCCGGCTTCTAGCTTCGATGTAAAAGGAGTTGGCAAAATCCTGTTGGAATTTTAGTTTAGAGAGCTTGCACCAGCTGGGGCGGAAACGTCATGTGTGTGTGTCTGTACCAAAAGAGTGTGTGTAAAGTTTACCGTACCGAAGGTGTGTACTGTAGGTAAATACAGTACATACAAATCTCGGTATTTGTACAGTCTAGGAGAGTACATTTGTTTATTGTTAATTGTTTACTTAAAAATAAGTTTAATATACATGTAGTATATTATCTATATATTCAAGTCAACATTATAAGCCAAATTTTCATGCTAAGAATATAACTTGATTAAAGTTTACTATAAATATAGTCGTTATTCAAGCTTAATTATAATTAACAACGTTGTTATGCAATTTCCTTGACTGTAATCATGTTGTGTGTCTGTACCAAAAGAGTGTGTGTAAATTTTACCGTACTGGTCTGCAAAGCAGTGCGACTGGCTTTCTCATGCCAGACCAGTGACATTTCCTTTCCCTTTTATTCCTATTCCCTGGCTTGCACGTTTAGTTTAGAGAGCTTGCACGTTTAGTTTAGAGGGCTTGCATGTTTTGGTTTAGAGAGCTTGTATGTTTTGGTTTAGAAAGCTTGTATGTTTTGGTTTAGAGAGCTTGCATGTTTTGATTTAGAGAGCTTGCATGTTTAGTTTAGAGAGCTTGCATGTTTAGTTTAGAGAGCTTGCATGTTTAGTTTAGAGAGCTTGCATGTTTAGTTTAGAGAGCTTGCATGTTTTGGTTTAGAGAGCTTGCATGTTTTGGTTTAGAGAGCTTGCATGTTTTGGTTTAGAGAGCTTGAGAGCTTGTATGTTTTGGTCTAGAGAGCTTGCATGTTTAGTTTAGAGAGCTTGCATGTTTTGGTTTGCAGTAAAATGTCATACTTCTTTCGTAGAGTCAACTAACAGAATCTGAGAACTTTTGTATGAACGATAATCCACGGATCTCTTTAAAAGTTCAAATTAATTATCTTATTTTAAGCAGATACAAAAGTAATTAGTTAGACATTAAAAAATAAATTAGAAAAAAGTTTTCCAGTAAGAATAGATAGATGGTTAGAAGTTAAGTACAATATCATTATCAAGATTGTTGTCGGATAGCTGCAAGATTCTCAATAATGAACAGATAGACAACGGGATAACCCTCAAATCAAAACCGATAATGCAGAGAAACTCTTTATTTCCTAAAAAATGAAATGAATAATAACATATAAATTATAACAATGATTTTATGATTTTTTATAATGGAAAGATTCTTACGATCTAATTAAGGATCTGCAGGGTTAAATCGTCGGAGAGTCCTAAGACGTTTTTTTTATACTTAAACTTCTGAAAAGAATGACAATTAATTATTAACGAAAGTCACTAATTCTTTATATGAAAATATTCGTTGCTTAACTTTTGAAATGGGTTCACAATAAATAAAAGTGTTTAGACTCCGTTGCTGGAGAACAAAAAAAATGGGGCTAAAATTATTTGGTTTGGTGTCTCCGAGAGGGGATTTTAAGTTAAAGACGACATTACACAGAGGGACTGAGAGATCTTATAGTTAATGGTTGACAAAGATATATAAAAAATATCATGTAAAAGAAGATGGTAGAATGGTAAGTAGAAGAAGATATAGCAAGTCAATGTAAAGAAGATGGTAAGATATCAAGTTGGACAAGATAGCTAGCAAGTAGGGTTTCCAATTGCAATTACGTTGCGCACAAATACAGGTTAAGTTGATAAACATAATTACAAGTTTTGTGCCGTAATATACAAGAGCGTAGTTAGGCTAATCACAATACAGAACAACGTAGTTATTTACAGACATAGCTAGGTTTGGTTAATCGTAGTATAAGTTCTGTGTAATTATTTACAGGCGCATTTAGATTTACAGACAAGGTATCAAATGATTTATATAGGTATAACTAAAGCCTTTGCTAAGGTATTTATTACAGCTCTCGATAAAGACATTCTATTATGTGATTTTAAGAAGGTAAAAGTCGTCCTATATACAACTTTTGTTACAATAAACAATCAAAAAATGTATGACTATTATGTTTTGTGGGTCTCTCATGTGATCGACAGTAGTGAACAGAATATAGACATGAAAGATAAGAATTCTCTATCAATTTTGTGATATAGTGACTAGGTATACATAATACATATATACAGCTGATTTTTGTCTATACTCTATAATTCATTAAACTTTGATGCAACTCAATACTCAAGCTACAAGCTTGCATTGCAGGCAGTAGTATTTAAACTAGGGTAATAGAACTATAGAGAGAGGTTGGGAGTTGTTTATATTGACGTGTTAGGACAGTTTAATTAAAGCAGTGATTGTCCTGGCCCGGCTCTCCAGCCTTGCCAAGGTATTTTGAGTCTTGTTTACCATCTTTGTTATTGTTTACAAAAACCCTTAATTACTGAGCTATCTATTAATCAAAATGTAAACATCCCTCCCTTCCTTCAGTTATCTTACTTTTTTTGTTAGAATATTTGTGAAACAGCACTAAAACGTGAGCGCAAGAAAACTGAGGTTTTAACATAATATTCAACTTATTGTATAACTCAAGTTTCTGTTTCTTAAATGGAAGGTAAGTGCCATAAATAAATTGATTTATATCACAGGGTTACCCTCGAAGGATAAGAAATTAATGACGACCTAAACTTCAGCGAAATATAACGACATCAGGATTTTGTATTGGGTATGTTATTTAGTAAAATAGATGATTTGGCGAAATAAAACAAGTTTACTACAAATATAAAATCTGGTAAGTGGGTAACCCTGTGTGTTCACGAATATTATGAAAGTATGAAATCAGGCGGCGTTGTAGATTTTAAAAGTATTCACCTCTGACCATTTTGCATATATTATATTAGTTATAACTTTAAAAAAAGGGAAAATGACACTTATTGTTTATAAGTAATAAACTTATCTTTTCAAATGTCATAGTGTACCAAAACATGTAAGAAGGAATGCGTTGGTATCATGCAAAGATCTAGGCACGAATATTCACAAACAGTTTTGGAAACCATAGTTTTAATAATCATTTTATTTCCAGTAAGCAATATTTTATTTTTCTTAGCTTCAATTAGTTTTTATTTAATAGAATTGTTTAGAAGTAAGAACCTACAAAGTATCTTGATGTTGATTTCTCCATTTCTCTGGTCTGCTTGCTCTATTGTCAAAATGTCCCATGGAACTTGACTTTCTTAAATTCATGTTAGTCATTAATCCAAGAAGACCCGACCCCGACTGATTTCTCTTGTGTTTAGTTCTAAACTGAATTGCTGAATGATATTTTTCAGAATCTACATCAGTTGGTTCTACAATTCTACAAATATCCTCTTCTCGTTCTAAAAATGTTTCCAATCGCGCAACTATTATAGATTCCTCCATCTTGCTGTGAATGCTGCAGACCACTTCATCACAAATTATTTCCTCTGGAAAAATCTCCTGCACGTGGGTTAGCATCGTCTTCACTGTGCGCGTCAAACCGCGTACTCTATCATCTTCCTTGGACCAGAGAAGGTTGGGAGTAAACACTATATTCACATTGTCCTGAGTCATCTTATTTGCGTCACAGTTTAATGTGAGCTTTTGAAGATATTGGAAAAGAAATGCAATATTTTCTTGGTTTTCATCAGGCATGTTTCTAATAATAGATTTTATTTCTCGAAGTCTGTGATTATCATCTTCCAGCTGCTCAATTGAAACCCATTCTGAAAGAAATTCCGACATAAAAAGCGGATCCGGCAGTTCTCTAAGATAACATTTAATGACCCCCGCTGCAACATGAGGATCCTCTAGAATTCCAGAAACCTTGGAGAAGGGCAGTCCAGCATCCAACATTGATTTAGCCTTCTTTAACTGTAGAAGACCTGGACTGATTCTGAACAGTCCCTCTTCATCCAAACTATCCTCTAACGACTTCACAGCAAAATGCAAAGGTTTTGCAATTCTAGCTTTTGTAGTTTTTAAATGGTACTCTAATGGCTCTCCAAAGATAGGTTTCCTTCTTGTATTTTTTATAATCTCGTTCATTTGCGGCAAAATTTCATCAAGTTTGGCGTTCATGTTTCTCAAACACTCCTTTAAGTTTTCTGCATATTGAACAAAATTCTCGGCCAGCTTTGCCTCCCTACTGATCTGGGAGTAAAGGGAAGACGAGAACTTATCCTCTGCAAGTTCAGCATCTTTCTTACTCCTCTCAACATCGTCTTCGAGCTTATCTTCATGATATGAACTTGATAAATCACTGGGTCTTCGTTTCTCTTTTTCTTTGCACGCTTTGTTCTCACAGCTGTCCTTTTCTTTTGACATTTTCTTATAAACATTCTTTTCTGCTTCAAGTCTTGGAAACTCCTTGTTTATGAAGTTGCTGTATATCGAAAATCCAAAATGTAATATGAGCTAACAAAAATTAGAATAAACAACCTTGGACAGTATTTAATACATTTTGAGAGGTCACTGCTGTTGGTTTAAATCATAAATCATTGATTCAAATCTTCATGAAACTGATTCGGAATTTCAACCAGCGGCGGGGTAATCCAGATACCTCTCTCCAATTTAATAAATGCCATCCCTGATTGCACAAAAAAGTTTTTAATTTGAAGATTTTGAATATAAAATTTTTGATTGTCCCTAATGTGTCCATTATCTAAAGTGTCAGCTACTCTGCTCTCAAAATTTGCCTGTTCAATTGCAAAAGATCGATGAATACTCGCAATTTGAAGTAAAATATCTTTAACTGGAGAATCTTCATGTTGTATCTCAGAAACCTTTTCCTCCAGGGTTAGGTAGGCTCGGGTGTAAATGGAGTCTTTCGGTGATTTATCTGATTTTAGACACAAGGTTTCCTTTATCCCCTTGATTCCATTCTTACAGTTGCGTTTAATTTTTACCAATCTGTTGTATGGTTCTAAATAGTACATAAAAAATAGCAGAAAAATAAACAAATATGTGAATGAATCCCCGAAAATTTGTTTTTGTTGGAGAACAATAAAAAAAGGCGTCTTGAAAAGCAATAGTTACGAGCAAAAATTTAGTAAATGAATCAATGAATCAATAAATAAATGAAAGGATGAATAATTCAATAAACAAATATATGTACGATTTAGTATATAAATAAATGAATAAATGAATAAATGATTAGGTGAATTAATGAATAGGTGATCAAATGAATTAATGAATTAACTAATTAATACATTAATGAATTAATAAATAAAAAAATTTACCTTTGTATTCTGGTTCCATACCTTCCTCACTTTTAAAATAGAAAGAACTTAAATAAATGAGAAAATGTTTCTAAATATATAAAAAAATATTGCAAATTTTTAAATATGAGGTACAATATGTACAGTATTATTGATAACAAAAAATAATGACACTTTTTTTCTTTTAAATTCTTTTTTTTTTTACTATTTTTCCTATTTGTCAGTGAGAACTTTGTCATTCCTTTTCTCATTGTCATAATTACACTGGAAAATATTTTATATTAATAAAGTAGTAATCTCTGTTTGTCTGTCGGATCGTAAACCCATTGACCGATTAGCCTCAAATTTTGTTTGGGTGAATTCATGGTTCAGTCATGTGTTTGTTGTCTATTCTGAACCAATAGAAATTGCATGGCGGTGGCATCTATCTTTCTATCTATTCTCATCATCCAATTACAGATAAATACTTAAATTTGCGTTATACACATTGTGTATTACACAAAATGGAAATATTTACTACTACTGAAACTATAGTGTTTTGTCTGGTTAAAATATTATAAATTGAATGGGTTTATCTTTTAGGGAAAACTCCAAACAAAGCTGGGCTATCCAGCTATTATGTATTTAAAATTCAATTCTTGATCATTTTCCAATAAATAATAAAATCTGCGTTATGAACAGTTCAATGACTTTATATTAGATTTAATTTCATCAATTTTATCAAAAAAACTCTTTTGAATAAAATACACTTCTCAATTGTTGTCAGTCTATGTATATAGTTTCTAAAAACTAAAACGGTTTTTTAAAATGATTAGAAAAATTGCTTTGAGAAATCGGGCTGAAAATGTGTATGTTGATATCTTTAGTTTAAGAATTTTTTTTGCATAATTTTATAAAAGAAAACTTGTTAAACATAATATAGACATTATATAGATTTTTGAAAGGACCTAAAAAGTCCAAAAAGATTTAATATTTTAAACCGGTCCTCACAAATATACCATGTATTACCATTCAAAATCCAACTAATATAATTTTAAGTGGTGTAAGGTTTGATAAGCAAATATATGCTTCCGCTTCTTGTAAATAGAACTTATTTAATACATTCTATAAAATATGATTACATATCAAGAATTACTGCATAAAATAACATGGAGAATTTAGTTGGTACTCCCTAAAGAACTATGGATGAAGAAGTCGACATTTAAGCAATCTTTTTGTGTATTTGATATTTTTATGTTTATTATGAATAAAGATTAAAGCTTTTGCTGCATAAAATAACATGACACTTTCTGGGTCAATGAGTTCTATTACAATGATCCTCTTCAAACTTGGAGCAAATAGTTTTACATTATCTTGAGAATTAAATAATGACGTTAAATTGGTTTGAATAAACTGAAAAATTTCTAGTGAGAATTAAATAATGAAATTGGTTTGAATAAACTGAAAAATTTCTAGTGAGAATTAAATAATGAAATTGGTTTGAATAAACTGAAAAATTTCTAGTGAGAATTAAATAATGAAATTGGTTTGAATAAACTGAAAAATTTCTAGTATCTTCTGATTATTGGACATTTGCAAAATTATATCTTTGTTCTAAAAACGTAGAATATGAAAATGGTCATTACTGAATTTTTTGACACCCTGTATATTATTCAATTGAAAGACTGAATTGAAAGATTCAAGGGTTTGCAGTAAGAAAATCACCGTAATATTTAACTATGAAATCAATTAAGAAATATTGATATTTTTATAGTTCCCGAGAAAAATATGTTCTTATATTTTATGGAACCCTCCTCGAATGATGTTATCGTATATTTTATGGAACCCTCCTCGAATAATGTGTTCGTATATTTTATGGAACTCTCCTCGAATAATGTGTTCGTATATTTTATGGAAATTTCCTCGAATAATGTGTTCGTATCTTTGATGGAACCCTCCTCGAATGTCTTTTCAATCCTAAGCATTTTATGACTTATGATCGTAACCATAGAGCCATTAGACTGTAAGTCTTGAGTGTGACTGTAAAATAACTTTCTCATTTTACCTTCAGAATTAAGTAATATGGCCGGAGGAATTTGTTAAAATTAAACACTGTTCAAGTTAGACAAACGACGATATCTCCCACAATAATGACGAAATTAAGGTGCAAGTATCACTGTGGTATATGTTAGCGGAGCTGGGAACTCTTGTATTGTGGATATCGAGATTAATGCTTTAGCCAGATCTCTTGATAATCTGCAGATTAACTTAATCTTTATTCGATATCCACAGTGTACTTGAACCCGGAAGGGCTAACTGAAATGCAGAGATTAAGGATTGATTCTTAGATTAAAAGTGTCCACAGTGGATATCGAGATCAAGCGATAGAAATTATGGATATCCAAGACAAAAGCTCCCAGCTCTGAATATACTCATACATAATGATGAAACTTATTAAGGCAGTAATTGTTAACAAAAATATGATTTAAGTTCAGGAGTAAATCAACCGCAATAATATGCTAGATTACCAAGTAAATACGAAACAGTGCACATAAAACAGTGTTATCAGTTACTTTTCAGATTACAGCGTAATTTAATAAGAATGGTACGTTAGGTAACTAGGTAACTATTGCTGTGTCTTCATAAAATTCGTGGTTAGCTTTTCCTTATTTGTATCACTTCGAGAGTGAATACAAAGTTTTCATCAGTCTCGGAGGTTTTTAAATTTTTTGATTTAATTCAATAAATTGGGTCTGTTTAATCCTTTTAAAAGAATAAGTAACAATAAAAAATACCTTTCGTCTTGGCATATCCAAAATGCGGTCTGCCTTTTTTGTGATTTTAAAATGACCGGAGTCGCGTGTTATGAAAAAGTTCTCTCAGATTTTAGTAGTTTTATTTACTCTCGGGTATCCCAAAATTTACAAAGATATCGAAAATGAAAAATGGCTAAATTTTAGATATCTTTCGATGTCAATATGCAAAGAAGGCAGACCACATTTTTCAAAGCTCTTAATACGTTTTCGTAACATTGACACGCCGTTCAATTTTTTTATACTTTTTGTCAATTATCATGATAATTATCATATATTATTATCATAATTATCATAATTATCATAATTATCATCTATAAAAATCAAAGAAATTTTCGATTCGTCTTTTAATTCCCTTGTTTTTGGGACACACTGCATGTATGATAAACATAACCTAAAGCTAAGTCAAGATGAAGGTGAAATAAATTGCTGGAATTGCTAGATATTTTAAAAAAGGAAATATACATCAATATTATAATTATGATTTAAAATATTTTACTTTCAATCTTTTAGAAGTTCATATATAGTTTAAAAGATACACAGTTTTAGTTGCACGATAAAACTTTCTATTTTAATCTGGGAGCTTCGCCCCCAATATTTTACCAACCCCGTGTTCCAAAATGTGTACAAAACTTCTACACACGTTAAACTAAAGTAAATTACAGGTAATATTTCTATTCTGTTGCTGTGTCAAATATTTTCCTCCAATCCGCCCCCTCTCTCCCCTTTTATAAGTGTTTATGAAATTGATAATGAACTAAATTGACAGATTTAATTTTACAATGTATTCAAATCATTCAGATAAACACAACATGGGTATACGGTTGTGTTACATAGCGGTCCTGTGTGATATTGATTGTGTGTCTGTGCTTGTTTTGTGTCTGTTGGTTACAATGTGAAATTGTTAGTGGTGCAAGCGTGTGTGTGTTAAAACGTCATGGCCGGCTGATGACAATTAAAATTAATATTATACCTGGATACCAGGGTATACACTTCGATATATACGTACAGTTTCACTCTAGTTTAGTTTACTGTAGATATACTATAGTTAGTATTAGTTTAGTTTACTGTAGATATACTATAGTTAATATAGTTAATATGAGTTTAGTTTACTGTAGATACACTATAGTTAATATGAGTTTAGTTTACTGTAGATACACTATAGTTAATATTAGTTTAGTTTACTGTAGATATATTATAGTTAATATAAGTTTAGTTTACTGTAGATATACTATATTTAATATTAGTCTAGTTTACTGTAGATACACTATAGTTTATATGAGTTTAGTTTACTGTAGATACACTATAGTTAATATTAGTTTAGTTTACTGTAGATATACTATATAGTTCATATTAGTTTAGTTTACTGTAGATACACTATAGTTAATATGAGTTTAATTTACTGTAGATACACTATAGTTAATATTAGTTTAGTTTACTGTAGATGTACTATAGTTAATATTAGTTTAGTTTACTGTAGATATACTATAGTTAATATGAGTTTAGTTTACTGTAGATATACTATAGTTAATATTAGTTTAGTTTACTGTAGATATTCTATAGTTAATATTAGTTTAGTTTACTGTGAATATACTATAGTTAATATGAGTTTAGTTTACTTTAGATATACTATAGTTAATATTAGTTTAGTTTACTGTAGATATAATATGAGTTTAGTTTACTGTAGATATTCTATAGTTAATATTAGTTTAGTTTACTGTGAATATACTATAGTTAATATGAGTTTAGTTTACTTTAGATATACTATAGTTAATATTAGTTTAGTTTACTGTAGATATACTATAGTTAATATTAGTTTAGTTTATTGTGAATAAACTACAGTTAAAATATGTCTAATTCCAAATGTTTCCTTGAACCATAATCTCGAAAGTTGAATTAAAAAGTGCTGACGTCATGATTATTTTCTGGAGTTTTCTACACTAGAAATTTTCTTCTTCTGTGGACTGAAAGATTTCTAAAATTGACAAGTGTGTGGGACTGCAGATAATAATAATAATAATAATGATAAATTATAAAAATGATAGTAGTAGTAATAATAATAATAATAATTATAAAAATAATAATAATAATAATAATAATAATAATAATAATAATAATAAT